AAAATGCAACATGAAAGAAATGGAATGGAATAATGAATGTAAATTTTGGAAAACAATAGCATTTTCTCTTTGCTAATTATTTGATTACCTAGAAAACTCTAGTTAAAAACTACTCGGATTAATAAGAGAATTTATAAGATGCAGAATAAACATACAAAAATCAGTAGCTTTTCTCTGTCATAAACATAACCTTATACAATAGAAACAGGGAGAACTACTACCTTCATGGCAGTGACACAAATTATAAAATACTAAGGAATAAATTTAATGGAAGAAAGGTACAGGAAGAAAATTATATTATTGAAAGGTGAAAACAAAATCTAGACAAATTCATTCATTCAGCAGACATTTGTTAAATGCTTCTTGTATGCTGTTTTCTTAGGTGCTGGAAACATCTATCAGGACATGCTGAGTCCTGTTGTTGTGAAGTTTACATACTTGTGGAAGAATCAGACAGTAAACAAATGTACTAAATAATATAATATCTGGTAGCATTTAGTGCCATAAAAATGAGATAATGTGATAAGAGAGTGACATTACGCCTGATGGTCAGGGAATGTTTCTTTAAGGAAGTGATATTTAAGCTCAGATCAGACCAGCATAACCAGACACTTGAATGCCTGAGGGAATAGCATCCAAGGGATAGCTGGTACAAAATCTCTAAGGTGAGAATGAGCTCATGAGGAGCAGAAAGGAAGCAAGACTGACTGGAATGAAGTGGAAGTGAAAGTTATAGGAGGTGAGGTTAGACAGACAATCCCAGTGGTAAGGAATTTGTATTTTAATTGGGATGGGAAAGCATAGGATGAATTTTAAAAGGTGTGTATGACTTGATGTGATTTATACTTGGAAAAGGTTTTTCTGGGATAAAGAGTAGAAATAGGGGGCCTAGTGAGCAGGCTGCTGTAGTAGATCATCTAGAAAGGATAATGATCTGTACTGGATTAGAGTGGGTATGAAGCAAAGTAGACAAATTTATGATAAGTTTTGGAAGCTGAACTTGCAGAAGTACTGGATATGGGAGTTGAGGGAAAGTGAGTAATTGATGATAGTTCCTAATTTTTGGAAAATACAAAAATACCAAGTTCTTGGGTAGGGAGACAGTATCCCTAAAATGTGAAATCTCCTTAAATTAATCTTTCAAATGTACACTAATTTCGATTAGAATTACCAGTAATTTTTTAAAAAATTATAAGGTAATCTTAAAGTTAGTATGAAAGAATAAAGTTTGAGAATAGCCAGAATAATTCAGAAAGAGAAGACTAGTGAAGGGGGATGTACTTTACCATTATAAAACTGCTTTAATCAAGTGTATACCGTTGGCATAGGAATAGACAAGTAGATCTTTGGAACAAAATAGAAAGCCCAGAATTAGATCTGGTGTAAATAAGATTTTAATGTATGATAAAAATAAAATATTTCATTTCCGTGATAAAACAATGGTTTATTTAATAAATGGTGATGTCACACTTTATCTTTTCGAAGAAAATAGTTTTGGACCTTTAGCGTACTACATACAAAATAAATTCTGCTTAAATGAAAATTAAAAATTTTAGAAGAAAGTTTAAGAGTATACAAATGTAACCTTTGGGTTGGGGAAACCTTTTACCATAATAGGAAACTTAGAAGCTATAAGCATATTTAACTATATAAATATTAATATATTTTATATGATAAATAGTACCATAAATAATACCAAAAGAAAAATAGATTAGGAAAACTAACATTTCTCACTGCATATGTCAGATACAAAGGGTTATTATCTGTAATGTAAAAAGAACTCATACAAATTGATATGTAATGATGAAAATAGAAAAAACTAGCAAAAGATGTAATTGTTCAAAAAAGAGCAAATCCAAATGGTTAATAAACACAAAAATTTGCATAACTTCTTAGCATCCAGGAAATGCAAACTGAAGTAACTATTAGATATTACATCTCACTTATCCTATTGACAATTTTTAAAAAAAACTGATAACACCTAGTGTTGGAAAGCATGAGAATACACTTGTGTTACTGGTGAAAAGAGAAATTTTTGTACTGATTTTGGAAAATAATCTCATAATGTTTTTATTAGAATTTAAATATATCACTTTTTTTGGCCGGGAGCAGTAATTAGATTGTTTGATAAATACTGGGGATTGAACCCCAGACCTTGTGCATGCTAAGCATGTGACCTGTGACTTGAGCTATATTCTCTCCCCCAATATCACATTTTTTAACCCAGCAAACACATTCCTGGGAATACAGCTCATAGAAATGAGCATTAGTACTTAGGAAAATGTATAAAGATAAATATTACAACACTGTTTAAAGTGACAAAAGCTGGGAACAAAATGTGAAAGTCCTTGGGTTGGGGGAACTATTGAGTAACCATCCAGATCATAAACTACTATTTAACCATTTAAACTATTTAACCATTTAAAAGAATATGTTAGGTGCATACTAATTGACTTAGAGGTGCATTGTTAAGGGAGAAGAGTAATAAACAAAGATGTCTGTAATATACATTTTCAGCAAAACAATGACAAAAAAACTTAAGATCCTCCCTATATTTATAAAGAAAAGAGGAATGTATGTATATTTTATATGGTTATTTGAGTATAGAAAAAGGCATGGAAGAGTACATAGAAAATTGTTACCATTGATGTAGAATTAGAGGCAAGGTAAGAAATAATACTTTAAAAAGATGTCCACAGTAAAAGCACTATGCATGATATGGTTCCACTTACCTAAAATACATATGTGTCTTCATATGCAGTAAAGAAATGAATGGAAAGATGGTTACCAGTATATAAATAATTATTTCAGGGTAATGTGATTTCAAGTCATTCCTTATATTTAATATTTATTGTTTGAACTTTTTACAGCAATTATGGCAGGAAAAAACAAGCTTTTATTGTGAGGGAAACAAAGAATATTAAAGAAAGCTAAATGGTGGTACTTTTTTGCAGTTGTGCTATATTGACTCCCAAACTGATGGCGGAATTCCTTCTTACTGTTTTGCTTTAATGGTGATGTTTTTCCTACAACAAAGAAAACCCCCTCTTCTTCCTTGCTTACTTGGAAGCTGGGTAAGTGTGAGTTTGTGACATGTATGTGCATGTATATATATAGTTTGCTCTGCAGAATACTCTGTTCAGACACTTAAAAGCTGGAATTCTGGTTTGTTATCTGTTTGTCCATCATTTTTTTTTAATAATTTTTCCACTACCAATTTGGAATGCCTTTTTATATAGATTGAAGGCTTTGACCCAAAAAGAATGGATGACTTTCAGCTGAAGGGCATAGTAGAAGAGAAGTTTGTGAAGTGGGAATATAATTCAAGTAGTGCAACTGAGAAAAACTCAATTGCTGAGGAAAACAAAGCTAAGGCAGACCAACCAAAAGATGATACCAAGAAGACAGAAACAGACAACCAAAGTAATGCCATGAAGGAAAAACATGGCAAAGTAAGCTTTTTTGTTTTGTTTTGTTTTGTTTTGTTTTGTTTTTGGCTTTTCTATCTGTAGAATTTGTGATGCCTTCTATTGAAGCTATTTGAATAGTAGATTGATTGACTGACCTTGAGTAAGCCTCTTGGCCTCATTTTCCTCATCTGTAAAGTGAGGGGTTGATCTGGTTTAGTTTTTCAGTTCCAAGATTCCTAAGAAATTTATACCTCATTTTGGAAGACTTGTGTCGTTTGAATCGTGTCAAGATAATATCCTTTGTATCTTTTTCATTTAGACAAGAAAAATTTCCTTCAGGTGTTGGGCTATGACCAAAACTTTAGCATATGGGAATTATGTTGCCAGATTGGTGGAGAAATAAAAACCTGTGCTCCTTTAAGGGGTGGCTTGCTTATTTAATCATTTGACATTCATTTATTAAGGACCTGCTATGTGCCAGGCATTATCTTGAGTGCTAGAGAACCCAAGATGAATACTCATGGATTTTCCCTCCAGAAGCATGTAGTCTTCTGAAGTAGACAGACATATTATTACAAAAATGTGAACATTACTGAAATCATTGCTCTGGCTAGACTGAATTATATGTAGTTCCCTGAACACATGTTCAGTTCTCCCACTTTCCTAGACTACCTCTACCCTCTCCTCAAATCATCAATACTCTTAGCTAATGATCTTACTAATTATTTCACTGAGAAAACCGAAGCAATCAAAGGAGAAATTTTATACTCTTCCACTACCATCTACCACTATCTGCACTCACATACTCTGTTTTGCTGTCTGATTGTAAAAGAACTTTCCATGTTGCTATCTGAAGTAATTTTCTTAACTTTTGTATTCACTCCCATCCCTTCTTGTCTATTCCAGAACATCCTTCTAGCAGTTTTTCTCTTTCCCTCATAAGTTACTGATTTTTCATTCTCTACTGAATCATATATGCTTTTATTTCTCCTCTTGTAAAGAAAAATATCAATGCCACTTCCCCTCCCAGCTATTTCTTTGCTCCCCTTTGCAGTCATACTTCTTGGAAGAATTGTCTGTATACACTATTTTCAATTTCTGTGTTTCCTCTTAACTCAGTCTGCCTCAGGCTTTGACCTGCATTAATCTACCAAAACTTGTATCATCAGTGTCAATATCCTCCACATTGCTAAACCCAGTGGTCATTTCTCAGTTTTTCTCTTTATTGATTTATCAGCAGCATTTGCCAATTGATTATTTCCTTCTCTAAAAAAATTCTTAACTTGCCTTTCAGGATACCACAGCCATGGTTTATTCCTTCTCAGCTTCCTTTGCTGGTTTTTCCTTTCCTCTCCAGCCTCTTTAATGTTAGAGTACTCTAGGGCTCAGTCCTTGATTCCCTTCCTCACCTTTTTCTGTATCTATATTTCCTTGATGATCTCATCTAATCTCATGGATTTTAAGTACCATCTATATGAGGATGACTCCCAAATTTAAATCTTCAGCCAAACCTCTCTCCTGAATTCTGTAATTGTATCTTCAACTGCCTATTTAATGTCTTTATTTTAGATGTCTAATAGATATCTTAGTGTGTCTAAAACTGAACTCCTGATCTTCCCCTTGCTCCACACGCAGTTTTCCCATCTCAGTTTATGACACTTCATCCTTTCCATTGCTCAGTCAAAACCCTTGGTGTCATCCTGAGGGTGGGTACAGTTCAGTGGTAATGCATGAGATCCTAGGTTCAATCCTCAGTAGCACCATTAAAATAGATAGACAGACAGACAGACAGACAAACAAACCTAATTTACCAGCCTCCCCCCTCCCCCCCCAAAAAAACCCCAAAATAACAAAACAAAACCGCTTGTAGTCATCCTTTACTACTCTCTTTCATACTCCGCACCAAGTCTGTCAGGAGTTCCTGTCCTATTTCAAAATATATTCAGAATTTGACTACCTCCACTGTTACCATCCTGATCCTAGCAATCATCATCTCTGACTTGGGTTACTATTACAGTCTCATAAGTTTCCCTGTACCTCCCCTTGTCCCTATGGTCTATTCTCAACACAACAATCGGAATGTTTCTTCTAAAACTTAAGTCAGTTCACACCTTTCTCCCTCCCCTCCTTGAAATGCTTCAGTTGCTCCTCATTTGATTTAGAATAAAAGCCAAGGAGTTCTTACTGGTTAGCTCTTTGTTTTCCTTTTTTCTTATCCTCTCTCTACAACACTAGTTTTCTTTCTTCCTTTTCCTTTTCCTTTTTTCCTTTCCTTTCTCCTTCCATTCCCTTAACTGAAATTAATTTTCTCACAGTTCCACAGGCTGAAAATCTTAAGATAAGGGTTGATTTCCTCTCAGGCCTCTCTCCTTGGCTGGCAAGTGGCTGCCTTCTTTGGGTCTTCCTTTATGTGTATGCATCCCTAGTCTCTCCTTTTGTGTCCTAATCTCTTACAAAGACAGCTGTTGGATTGGGTTATGGCCCACCCTCAAGGCCTCATATTAACTCACTGGTTTTCTTTTTAAAGCTGTTTACACTCCTACTTTAGTGTATTTGCTGTGTATCTTATTCCTAGGATACTTTTCCTTTAGATCGTAGCTTCTCAACAAGTCCTAACATGACCACTACTTAACACTGAATATCCCAATTCCCATCTTCTTTACTCAACCTACTCAAGTTTTTATTTTCATAGTACTATTCTTCTTCTAACTTACTGTGTAATTTGCTTATTAAGTTTGTTGTTTATTGTCTTCCTTCCCTAGAATGTAAGCTCCACTAAGGCAGGGATCTTTATTTTTTCTTCACAGATATATCCCAAGTGCCTGGCACATAGTAGGCACTCAGTGAGTAGTTGTAGAATTCAATGAGTGAATGACTGTTTTATTCCTTTATATGCCTTAGTGGTCACTTTTAGCCAGTCTTTATCTAGCTAATTCATTTAGAATTCAGGTATTACCTTTTCTGTTAAGACTTCTGATTTTAGAGGCCTGTTTTAGCATGTAGCCTTTACTGCAATTATTAAATGGTTTCTTTCTCTTCTAATAGTGTATGAAGTAGGACCTCACCTTATTTAAGTGAGAGTATGGTATAATGATAAGCAACATGGACCCAGTAGCCAGGTGGACCTGAATCAGATCTTTGCTCTATAGTATCATAGAGCTCTTAGAATTAATAGTTACATGTGCAGCACTTAGAGGAGTGAATGCTACATGGCGGACGTATGTTTGTGTGAGCTCCTACTATTTTCTGGTATCTCCAGCACCATGCCAGGGACATAGTAGGTTCTAAAATGTTTACCAAATGAAAGAATTAGCTTTTGAAAGGCCAGGGCATTTACATAGATTTTAAAAGTAATTGCTGCAATGAGGAGCTGTGGCAATTGTTATACAGTGGTTAGCAACCTTGAGTGCACATGAGAATTACTTAGGAAGCTTTAAAAATCCTAGTGCCTAGTCCATTAAGTCACAATCTTGGAAAGAGTATAGATGAGAGTGGTATCAGACTCAGATATTAGTGGATTTTAGTACTCCCAGTGTGATTCTAATGTGCACCCAAGGTTGAGAATCACTGGTTTAGTGGAAAGAACACAAAATTTTAGGAGTCAATAAACTGGGACACTCTGTTGCCAGCTGTGCCACAAATTGCTTTCTGGCAGCTTACTCCTTTATGCCTTACCTCAGTTTTTGAAAAGGTGATCTCTAAGGTCTTTTTAAATTGAAAATTAAATGATTCTATAGTTTTGTGAAGCTTGAATGAAAAGTATTTTTTCTTTTCCAGTCTCCTTTAACATTGGAAACACAAAATCAGGTGTCCCTGGGGCAGTTATGGTTAGAGCTGCTAAAATTTTACACACTGGATTTTGCTTTGGAGGAATATGTCATATGTGTACGAATACAAGATATTTTAACTAGAGAAAACAAAAACTGGCCTAAACGGCGAATAGCCATTGAAGGTGAGATGATTTACTTCTTTTGGAGAATATTTTTTGGTGTACTACTCATCATCTGTTTCTAATGTAGTGTTACAGATTTTATCCCTTGGCTTTTTAGCACTATCTATGCCACTAGGTTGTCATTACATGTTTTGGATTAATTCTTTATTGAGTCCATGATAGTTCTATAGGATTAATGATTATTTAAAGGTTTCCAATCTGTAAATAATGACTAGGGTTATTAGCTTATTTACATGCTTTTATTTTTATTTTAATTACAAAAATTTCAAATATATTGAAAAATAGAATAGCTGTTGAATACTATAAGATATTTTTGAATAGATTTGTGTCATAAAATTATGTTAAAAGTATAATTTTAAAATACCATTCTTTGTTGTCTTGTGAAGTATCTCATGTGCTAAATGTGGCTAAGCTGAAGGAAAAAAAGAATGATTAATGTTGACAAACAAGGCTTCACATCAAATCCCGAGAACATTAAGATCATTAGAGGTACAGAAATTAATAGTATGGCTTCTAAATTCTTAATACAAAATTTAAATTCCGCAACATTTTGCTCACTTTTTATAGATGGGAAATTGAATTTCCGTCCATAATTTCAGTTTGTTTGGACTACACGTTCTTATATACCCTCAGTCCTCTGCTGGCCTTCTCTACTGAGTTGGACCCACATATATTTTCATGCACTCAAACACATACTCACATCTTGTACTGTCTTACAAAGTGTGTCAATAAATGCCATTATAATTTCTCTTTTTCTTTTAGAAAGGGGAGAGAAGCTAGGTAAATCTTTTAAAAGTCTGTGGCTTTAGAGAACAAGAAAAAGTAACAGTTGCTTCAGTTTTAACAAGTTGAAGCCTGGCCTGTTAATCCTTTTACTTAATGATCTTCAGTAGTGGGGAAAATGTGTATTGTCTTTTGGGTGGCACCATTCTTTTATTCTGGGGCATATTTATATTTAAGGCTTATAAAATCCAAAACCCATAAAACATTTTCAGAAGTCTGTTTTATGTTCTTTTAAAAAAATTTTTTTAATTTATTTTGAGGTGGATATACTTAGGTTTATTTATTTACTTCTTTTTAAAGGAGGTACTGGGGATTGAACCCAGGACCTTGTGCATGCTAGGCATGTGCTCTAGCACTTGAGCTATATCTTCCTTCCTATTCTGTGTTCTTAATAATGAAAATTCAGTTGATGTAAGCCTTTTCAGCACAGCCATTTTAGACTGAATAAAAATTTAAATTTTGGTTTAATTTTTACTTTGTTAGATTTCTTCTACTTTTCTTTCTATTATTTCTCCTTCTCTGTCTATTCAGTTTTTTGATGTTACTTAAGTTAAATCTTAAAATCAGAATAACTTGAAGCTTTGAGAGTGTTAGGTTATATTTTATTTGTTTAAATTGCAAGGAGTATGTAACTAAAAAATGCTATAACAAGAGATGAAAATTAGTAATGGGTCCTGGAGCTTCAAAAAATTCATTCAGAGACAGTGTAGGGAAGCATATTGGCATAGCTTTTTCTAGCAATTTCATCATTGTAAGTTTGTAATTACTGAATTGGCCTCCTCAGCTATTCTCTCATTAATTACCTTATTTTATTGTTTCTCTTTTCCTTTTAGTTTTTTATTTTATGACAGAAACAAGGGAAAAGATTTTGCTATTTTATTTCCTTTACTCAGTTGGCAGGAATTCTCATTGGGACCTTAGGTTAGGAAAACTTTGGGAAAAGGTACTCTGCTGACAATCTTCCTGTTTGTGTAGGTTTGGAAATGTAATTTGTTTGTAGATACTTAGCTACTGACCTTTTTTTTTTCTTTTTTCCCCTAGATCCATTTTCAGTCAAGAGGAATGTTGCACGGAGTTTAAACAGTCAGCTTGTTTATGAATATGTAGTGGAGAGATTCAGGGCAGCTTATCGATATTTTGCCTGTCCTCAGAGGAAGGGTGGAAATAAATCTACAGTGGATTCCATGAAAAAAGAGAAGGGGAAAATAAACAATAAGAAACCAGTGAAGTCTGACAATGTGGCATCGAATTGTTGCATTCTACTTGGGGGAAGCACAGAAAAAATAAATGCAGAAAGAGGTCAACCTGATAAATATGATGAAATGAAATGTACATCACAGAGATGTATTACTGAAGATGACATTTTGTTGATAAATGAACTAGATTTGGCTGAAAATGGACAGGAATCATCATCTCTTTCTACCAGCGAAGGCAGTGAATTACAGCCAAAATCAGTTAAGAAGCAGGATGTTTTAGCACCTTCAGAAACTTGTTTAAAGAAGGAGCTAAGCCGGTGTAATTGCATTGATTATAAATCCCCTGAACCAGATGAATCTGCTGGTACAGACTGCAGGTCAAATTTAGAAACAGAAAGTTCACATCAGATTGTGTGCACTGACACATCTGCTACCTCTTGCAACTGCAAAGCTACAGAAGATGCTTCTGACCTTAATGATGATGATAACCACCCTACCCAGGAATTATATTATGTGTTTGATAAGTTTATTTTAACTTCTGGCAAGGTAGGATACAGTTTGTAAGTAATCTGTAAGATTTTGTGTTTGTTGTATGACTATTTCTATAGTTTTTAAATTCAGAAATGTAAAAATAGCTTCTGTGATGGTAAACTATTGTTTTGAAATGGTATTTTGGTGTATATTTTTGCATTTTTGCCTATACTTATCTTTTAAGAATATATATATGAAATTCTGAAAGTTTTCAGCACTCTATTACTAGTTGGTTTGCTTTACTTTCTCATATATGAAAGGATTTATCAGGTATCTTATGAAAGTGAGTTTGGCAAAGGCAGCATTCATTTTAATTTTTCTTATTTTTTATACATATGATTTTTTTACTTCTACAAAGGAGAATACAGTGTTTGAAACTCTAGTAGTATTCTATCAAAAAAATTTTTTTAGTAGGGGTCAGGGACTGGAGTATAAATTTAAGATAGTTGAGTTAAAGCTAAGATCAGGAACCAAAAAAATGAAGAATTTAGATTCTGTCTCTGCCTCTGAGCTTCTTTTTGGATTTTGGCATCCACCTTATGAATTATAGGACTCTTAACTTTTATTTTTAAAGTGGGATCATCTGAACTTTAACTTGATAAATTATAGAAAATAAAATATCCCAACAAATAAAAAAATAAGCTACTTTGTTAACACAGAATAACTACTTTGTTGTTAAAAGAAAGTTTTAGCTAAGTCAAATTGCTTCAAGTGCAGTATACATAATTGAAATAGTATCAGCACCCAGAATAAAAAAAATGATTATATAGGTCATGTGTAAATTAAGTAGAATACAAAAATAAACTCAGAAAGTAATCCAGTTTTATTGTTTTATTAATAATTATTAATTGACAAGCTTTAAATTCTTTAACCTAATTACTAAACTGTGTTTCTCCATCCTTTGTAAGGATACTTCTGTCTCATTTTGTTTAGGTTGTAGTATTTGGGGCATATGGACTATTAAAAAGATAAAATAAATGGCAAATTTTTAGAAAAGCCTCTTAATAATTTAACTACAGTTTACATTTCTTATACTTTATACTTTTTTCTTGGAACGTTATCTTATGGTAATGATTTCTCCAATATTAGTTCTCTCGTTATCTGTAACACTTTCCTAGAATTTTCTGATAAATATGTCCTTTTTTTCAAGCTTTGAAAAGTTGATAGAAATTTCCGTGGTACTGTTTATTAGCCAACAGCATAGCATTCCCACAAGTAGAGGTTTCTGTGTGTATTTTGCATCAGAGTTCATGGCTAGGTAAATGTCTAGGCTAATCCTGTAGAAGGAAGCTAACTTCCTAGGCATCTTACAATAAAGAAAATAGTGCTCTTCCTTAAACATATTTTTTTTTTCAACTAGTTGGACTGAATTTTTACTGTTTTGGCTACCTGTCTGGTAGTCCATTGAAATACATTTAAAATGGTATTATAGGGTTTGAAAGTTAAGTTTGTGGCTGTTGCATAAGAATTTATCTTGTATGAAGCTGATTTATTTTTAGAGTTCAGCCCTACAGTTTCGTTTTTTGAATACCATACTAATGTAATAAATTGAACCAACTAGCCAAGTGAGGGTTCTATAATTGATTCTGCAGATAGAAAATGTTTGGAGTGTAATGAAAAATGCCACATGAAATTTCTTTATAATCTATTTTGTTAAAGATTAAAATGTGATGCATGCATTTCATTTTGGGAGCTGATCAAACTGTTTGAATTAACCTATACTCTCTGCATCTTTTGATATTTCCTTTATATTCCGTTTTCAGGTAAATCTAATCTTTGGTAGTATCATTTTAGTGGGGAAGAAAGTGGTTGGCTCAAAATGTTTTTTATGCTTAATACTGAATTTCATTAACATGCCTTTTTTTTTAAAACCTCTTGAAATCCAGGTTATCAGACTGAGTTAACATAAGAGATTTTTTTGTACTGCTTTATAAGTGATGATGAAGTCCCTCAATAGTTTTTCAATTATTAGATTTTTAAAAACTTTTTTATAGCCGCCAACAATAGTATGCAGCATCTGCAAAAAGGATGGCCATTCAAAAAATGATTGCCCAGAGGATTTCAGGAAAATTGATCTAAAACCTCTACCACCAATGACAAATCGATTTCGAGAAATACTTGATTTAGTATGTAAAAGATGTTTTGGTAAGTCTTTTTTTTACTAGAACTACTTACTGAGACTAGATTCTTTCTTAGATTTTGAGTATTTATTTTCTTATTTGAGAACAGTTTGCATACATTTTGTTTTGGTAGAGTTTTTTGAATAGTTTAGCAACCCAACCACAGATATTTATTAAATGCCCTCTGTGTGCAGGGCACTGTGATAAATTCCGGGGGGAATATAGAATCCCTAGTATTGCTTTTAAGGAGCTTAGACTTTGGGTTTGTGCTAGTTAATATGGTAGCCACTAGCTGTATGTGCTAAATTTAAATTAACTCAATTTAAATGAACTAAACTAAAATAAAATAAAAAATTAAGTTCATCAGTTACACTAGTCACACCTCAAGTACTGAGTAGCTACATGTGGCTAGTGACTATTTCACTGGACTGTCTGGGTAGAGAACATTTCCACTGTTGCAATGATTTTGCATAGTGCTGCTCTAAATGGGTGTATAAGACGTGTATGAAACTTACCATAATTGGAAGCAGAGCGTGTTACATGCTGTTGTAGGGGTAAACAAAATGCAGTTCAAACATAATTTTAACTTGGATAGATCAGAGGAATTGGAATTAATGATGTGGTATTTGAGATAGACCTTGAACTGCATTTTCAGATGTAGGAGATTATACATAAAAGCATAAAGTGTATAATTTGGAAGAATAATTGCCTTAGATTTGGTAGATGTAAGAAAGCCAGTAGAGGGAGATAAGGCTGTAAAGATTTTGGATAAAGCCTTACATACTTTGATTCAGCAAACATTTATGGTGTACTTGGAATAAACCTTCACTCAGTAAACATTATTAAATTGCTTGCTGAATGAAATAATTCCATTTGCAGCAAAAAGATGGGCCTAGAGATTACCACACTAATTGAAGTAAGTCAGACAAAGACAATTGTCTTATGATATCACTTATACGTGGAAACTAAAGTATAATACAGATGAATTTACTTACAGAACGGAAACAGACTCACAGACATAGGAAACAAATTTGTGATTACCAAAGGGCAAGGTAGGGGGAGGGACAAATTAGGAGTTTGGGATTAGCAGACACAAACTACTATATATAAAACTGATAAACAACAAGGTTCTACTATATAGCACAGGGAACTGTATTCAATGTCTTATAATAAACTATAATGGAAAAGACTATGATAAAGAATATATTTGTATATATATATCTATATATATAGATAGATATATCTGAATCACTTTGTTGTACACCAAAAACTAACACAACATTATAAATTAACGGCACTTCAATTTAAAACAATTACTTGCTGTCTCCTAGGTAAGATAAAATTTCTGTCATAACATTTAGTTCTGTTGTAATCCCTCCCTTCTACCCTTTCCTAATTCCACTTCCTGCCAAGCAGCCACTTACCTGCTTTTTGTCACTGTAGATAGCTTGCATTTTTCTAGAGTTCTATATAAATAGAATCACATGGAATGTATGCTTTTTTTTTGGTGGGGGGAATCCGGCTTCTTTCACTTAGCATAATTATTTTGAGGTTCTTCTATGTTGTGGTGTGTATCAATGGTTCATTTCTTTCTATTGCTGAGTTGTGTTCCGTTGTGTGGCTGTACCACATTTAGTTTACCATTCACCTGTTGATGAGTATTTGTTGATGAATATTTAGTTTACCATTCACCTGTTGATGAAAATTAGATGAGTATCTAAATTTTGGTTATTACAAATAAATCTATTGTGCATATATATGTGTGGGTCTGGGTATGGACATATGCTTAAACTTCTCTTGGGTAAAATACCTAGTAGCCGAATAGCTGGGCTATGGCACATCTTTTTCTTAGCAACTTTATTAAAATACAATTTACTATATTTGTTTTTATTGAGTCATTTATTTATCTCAGTATGGACTCATAGATATTTTATGCTTTGAATTATAATTCAGTACTATTTTTTGTTGCTTAAATTGTTCCAGATTTAGATATTGGGAGCTCTTTTCATTTGGTTCCGATGACCATTTGATATACTCCTATCAATGTGACGGGTCTTTTTGGGTTTCTTTTTGTTAGTGTTGTTAGTTGTTCATTTGTATTTTAGCACTTTCTTACTTTCTGGCACTGCAAGATGCTCCAGGCTCATCTTATAAATTTCTGACCCAGTCCTAGAGTTAGACATTTCTCCAAAGAGCCCTGGTTCCTTTTATTGGAGAACAGTATTAGAAACCAAGATCTGGGTGCTAGGGTGATTGTTATTACTGGGTGATGGTGTGTCTGGGTCCTCTCTGAGGAAAAAATTTATGTATATATGTTAACTCTTGTATATACACATATCTATAAATATTTCCATTTGTGACCATCTTAAGCTATATTAAACTAAACATGACTTTGTACTGATGTTTCCAACTGTAATACATTAGTTACACATGGCTCTTTCTAACCTCTTCTTTCTGCTTAATGTAAATTTTCTACTCTAGCAGTGAGAAACCTGGCTCCCACCATGTGCCAGCCCTTTATTTAATTGTTCCATTTCAGTACACTTGTGTAGAATGATTAGAACTGTTATCCTGTACCCCTGTAGGAAACAACTTTATCAATTAGAGCATCGTGCGTATATGTCGTTCCTTTAACCCTTAGTCTTACGGACGCCACTTCTTTTCAAAATTACTTAGATTAGCACCTTTTCCCCCCACTCCCTTGAATGAAGTTTTCTTATACATTTATAATGCAGTTAGATTCTTTTCTTACAGTCTGCATTCCATCCTGAGATTCCCTGACCTCTAAGATTTTTTTTTTAATTTATGTACTATAAAGTTGACTGTTAGTACTACAGAGTTCTCTGGGTTTTGACAGGTGTGTCATATCATATTACAATTAGAGTATCATGCAGAATAGTTTCTCCACTCTTAAAAAAAAAAGTCCTGTATTTCAGCTATCCACCTTGCAACCACTGATGCTACATTTGTTTTTCAAAAGCTGAGTATTAATTTAATTCATTACAGTAAATTACTGCTTTGTTCCTATTAGCATATTGACTCCTAGGGACGAGTCTGGAGGAGGTGATAGGGGAAAATAAGACTATTCTTAAGGAATGTATGGTCTTATTTGGAAAAATAATATGACTATAAATGAAGCACCTAGAAAACTGAAAGAACATTATAAACTAAATTGGCAAGTGATTTGGAGAACTAAGGAAATTCAGTTAAGGAAAGGTCATTAAATGCTGTGTTTGGGCAAAGCAGCTTACAGGGAAGATACGAATCTTGACCAGGCATTTGGGGGAACTGTTAGGTTTGAATGAGTTAGGTACCTAGCATAACAGTATGAAAGTAGTCTTAAAAAGAGGGAAAAAGCAAGTATGTACATGGGAGAGAGTGGGTTGTCTGAAGAAAGCAATATTAAATAATTTGTAGAAGTGAATATATTTTGTAGCTATTTCATAGGGAAGATGATCATGTGAAGTGTACATAGATCTATAACATTATTTTTCTGCTCTCTCTTTGCTCCTTCCTTCCCCAGTAACGTTTGTGATTTTAACGTCAAAGAAGTCAACAAATAATGAAGAAAAGTAAAGTTTTTAGAGTAAAAAATTGAAGATATTTTCAGATTCTATTTTGCTTACTTTTCTTTTTCCTTTTCTTTTTTTTTAACTTAGATGAATTATCACCACCTTTCTCTGAACAGCACAACAGGGAACAGATTTTAATTGGCTTGGAAAAGTTTATTCAAAAAGAATATGATGGTATGTCATATGATGAAAATTGGTTTCTTTTGTTATTATAGTCACCTGGTCTGAGATTGATTGATTGATTGATTGGTTGATGTGAAGGGAGGTAATTAGGTTTACTTATTTATTCATTCTTAGAGGAGGTACTGGGGATTAAACCCAGGACCTCATGCATGTTAAGCATGCACTCTATCACTTGAGCTATACCCTCCCCTCCATTCATTTATTTTAAAAATGTTTATGGAATGTTATGTGTTAAGTACTATTCTAGAAACTGGGGATACAGTGCTAAGAAGAGAGGTGAAACCTGCTCTCGTGAAACTTATATTAAGAGGGGTGACAGTCAGCTAACAAGTGAGTAACGTAATATCAGGAAATAATAAATACTGTTAAAGTAGAGGAGTTAAAAGGATATTGGTGAGGTGTTATGGTAGTTCTCTCTGATAAGATGATATTTGAGCAGAGCCATGAATAATATGGAGTAAGTTATTACGAATATCCAAGGAGAGAACATTCTAGAGGGGAGGAATAACAAATACAAATACCTTATGCCTGAATTATGTTTGACATGTTTGAAGGCCATCCAGGAAGTTAATGTGGCTAGAGTAGAGTGTACAAGGTAGACTAATAGGAAGATGAGGTCAGAGGAGTAACCTAGAGTTTGGATCATTAGAGTCTTAATAGATATTGATAGAAGGACTTTGACTTTTATTTTGAATATCTGATGAGAAGCTTCTGAAGGGTTTTAACACAAAAATGACATGATCTAAGAGAATAGAGTAAGAATAGAAGCAAGCAGAACATTTATTTAAGAGTCTGTTGCATGAGTTCAGATGAGACATAATAGTGATTTGGAAGAGTAGATATGAAGTGGTCAGATAGGATACATTTTGAATGTAGAGTCAACAGGATTTGCTGATGCATTACATGTTAGATGTGAGAAAAAGGAGTCAAAGATAGTTTCAAGATTTTCCCGTCACTAATTGGGTGGTGTTATTTAACTGAGATGGCGAAAATAGCAGAAAGGAGCAGGTTTTGGGCATGGGGGTGAAGAATCAAGAGTTTTGTGGCCAAATGTTTTAGAAAAGGATAAAAAGTTATTTATTTTAAAAGATGATCTTTTATCTTTTCATTTTAAATTATATTTGCTAATATATAAGATGTTGACCAACTCTAAGTTCCTTTTATATTAAACCCATGCACATTTTTATTTACTGATAAATGTAGCTTCTTTTATGTCTCCCAATTGTCGCTGATTTCAAGTAGGTTATCAGAACTAAATCAGAAGATTAAGTTTTGAAAATAATAGAGTTTGTCTAAATGTGTAGTCTGCAAGAATTAATAGGAAGACTAATCCAATCTTACTAAGCCACACCTTGTTTGAAGTAGTATCTGTTGTTGAGTGACGCTAATAAGCATGAAGGAACAGCGCTATCATAATTTATATCAAATGAACTAATTTCTCACTTTTAGAGGAGAATTAATTCTGTGTGCTAAGGTGATATTTGTGAAACTACTTGAATTGTGCCCCGAAAAAACTAGTTTATTTCTGAGAATTAAATCTCTAAATATTGATCTTAAGTATTGGTATTGATGTTGGTAATGAATAAAAGTAGATGAGCCTATAAGATAGTTAAGTTGGAGGAAACTAAAGAATCACCAATGATTCTTTGGATATGGAAGTTGCGAGAGAGATGTTAAGAACCACATGTGTATTTCTGACTTGGGCAACTGAGTAGCTGATGGTATTTGCTGAGAAATGGGGATTATAGGAATAATAGTAGGTTTGAGGTGAAGTTGATAATTTTCACTTGTTGCATTTATGATGTCTATGGAAAAAATGGAAAATGCTGTTAGATACTTGGGTATGGGAACTTGGGCAGAAGATCTGGACTTTAGGTGAGTGGAAAGTTCTCAGTATATCTGCCAATGGTAAGTAATTTAAGCCATGGAATTGGGTAAGATCATCCTGTGGTAAGCCATTAGTAGTTGATGGAAGACTCCTCTTTCCTGTTAATTATAAAACTTTTGACTTCTGTTTTCCTTGCTTAGAAAAGGCAAGATTGTGCTTATTTGGCTCTTCTAAGAATGGATTTGGATTTCGTGATAGTGATCTGGATATTTGCATGACCTTGGAGGGCCATGAAAATGCAGAGGTAAGAGTTAGTGTTTGGAAAGGGATGTGGAAGTTTATTTTATTCCAATGATGAATTTGTTTTAATTTTGTATGTAGAATTGATAAAAATTTATTATGTCATCCTTCATATAAATATATTAGCAATAGCAGTGTATGAAATGTAAAAGCATTAGCATTATCATTTAGAGGACATTAAAATATTTAAGTAAGTAAATTTACTGCTTAGTAATTTTTAAATTCAAAAACTATGTCCCTGAGAGTTACAAGTGCTTTTTGATGAATTTTTGGAGCAGTTAATATACCACAGAGTTGGAATTTTTTGATTAGAACTGACGAGAAGCTGTTGCTTCAGTTTGGTAGTGAACATTGATCTTACTTACTCTGTCTTTTCATATCCCTTCCATTAGGTGATGTCTTTGTATCACTAAAGATAGAAAATAAAGGTGGACATTTAATATATAAAAGGGTTGTGTTCTACAAGTTAATTATAATTTGGGGGAACTCAAAACACATTTTTTTTTCTGTAGAAGCAATGTTATAAATGATGTGTTCTAGGATAGCTTTTAGAAACTCATTGTGGGTGGGGAGGGAAACTAACATTTGAGTCCCCAGTATACACTTTTACATACATTATCTCATTTCACTCTTACAACCACCTTCGAGGTAGATAATTTCCCCCATTTTTCAGATGAGGAAACTGAGGCTTTGAGAGATAAACTGACTTCACACAGCTAGTAAATGTTGGAGCCGGGATTCGTACCCAGGTCTGTCTGACTCCAAAGTTCATGCTCTTTCAATTGTATCTCACTGCTTCTCTGTAATTTATTTAACCCATAATGTAGTTGAAATATAGTACTAATTGTACTTTAGAACCTAACCACTACTTTCTGAAATTAAAATCTTTCTGAGTTCCACCGTGAGATGCCAGGAGCAAACCTTCCCCCAGAGCAGTCTCAGCAGTGAGAGAGGATACTTGTTTTCCTTCTTTGTATACCAGGCCTCAACAGTGGGAGTGAGATTGTCCAAGCTTCCGTAAAGAAAAGGACTGAATGGACAGGGAAGAAGTGTCTCAGGCCTTCCTAGCAACAACTAGAAAAGGAGGGTACCCCTGTAGTTGCTCATTTCTTTACCAGCATAGTTGTTGGTATTTATGTTTCAGAATCAGGGACTGCTTGCAAGATTGGGGTGAGGCCAAGCTTCTGGCATCTGTAGTGGTGTCAGTATAGCCTCTGTTGTATTATACAAGAATTCAGAAGAATGTACCTATGTGTTTCTGAAATAGTTTTTCCAAAAGGTGTTTTTTAAATCATTAGAAACAAAGTAAAGATGGCAGTAACACCTGGTAGATCTTTATTTCTGGCCTAAGAAACTGCTTCTGGTGTTAATTAACATCTTGTTCTGTGAAGAAACTGGAAAGTTGTAAATTTTTTAGTTCTCTTTAACTGGCTTCTACTCGGTACCATCTACTTCAAGAGTCTTCCACTTTCTATTCTGAAGGTTAGGGATTGAGGAAATAGGAAACAGTTTTTACCCAGGAAGAAAGCTATGGTTTTAGATATCTTCTATGTAAAATTTAATAATCATACTTCTAATCACTAAGGGTTTGTGTACTATATATAATACGTATTAGAAAGTCAAAACAGTGAAAAAGAATAAACTATTTATTTCCAGATGAACCATAATTGAAACTTTAATTTAGCATAAATTCTATCCTTGCATAATAAAGAGAAAAATAAACCTCTTTTATTTTATTATATTTATTATTATTTTATTAGTAGTAATAAATTATTCCTTTGAAATCCCCAGTTTAAGCTACAATGGCCACTGCTCTTTTGTAGCTGAAAAGAGCATGTTGGGGATATGCAAAAGTTATTTTAGTAGTAAATATGGGCATTGATGTATATATACCTTTCATCTTAATCCAGTTAATTTATGCCATTATTTTCTGTTTCTTAGATTATGGTTATTGTTACCATATCAACTCTGCTGTCTAGCTTTTAAATAACCAATACATTTAAATTTGCAGAACTAAGAGGTTTTTTTGAAGAAGTAGGTGCTGGTAATGGGATTCTTTTTCTTTTCCTCATCAACATAATAAATAGCTCACAAACTTAAAGTGCTTACTTTGTACAAAGTATGCTGCTGAATGCTTTACATAAGTGTCTCATGTAATCTTTCCAGCTACTTTATAGGATAGGAATTTATGATTAAATTGATTTTATAAAATAGTATTATGAGGCTCAGAGGGATTAAGGATCTAGTCAAAGGCACACAGCTATTCAGTCCTTAGTTTAAGATTTAAATCCAGGTTTGTCTAAATTCAGAGCCTATGTTCTTAATCACTATACTGTTTGCCCTCACCAAACCCACTCTATAGTTGTTCATTCATGTATTGAAAATATTATTCTCTTTTGTGCTTCTCAAACTTTAATGTGGATGTGAATTACCTGGGGATCTTGTTAACAGGCTGATTATGATTTAGCAGACTAGAGTTGGGGCTGAGATTTCTGCATTTCTCTCAGGTTTCCAGGTGTTGCTGATACTGCAGGTCTATGGACCACCTTCTTTGACTAGCAAGGTTATGTAAACCTTCTGGCTGGAGATTTTATTTTTTATTTTTTAAACTTTGGTGGAGGGAGGTAATCAGGTTTATTTGTTTGTGTATTTATTTGTTTATTTTAATGAAGGTACTGGGAATTGAGCCCTGGACCTTATGCATGCTAGGCATGCACTCTACCACTGAGCTATACCTTCCCCACTCTGGCTGGAGATTTTAAATGCTAGTTTTAAATGTCTAGATTAAAACAGAATTTGCAACAAGGCCAAATTGAGTCAGACAAACTTTAATTTATTATTTATTTCTCTTGTTTTTTAGAAATTAAATTGTAAGGAAATAATTGAAAATTTGGCGAAAATTCTTAAGAGACATCCAGGTATGAACTTCTAATTACAGCTTTAAAACAACAGAAAATATTTTTTAGTTTTATGAAAATTATTTAAACTAGTGAATTTTTTTTAATCAGGTTTAAGAAACATTTTGCCTATAACTACTGCCAAAGTGCCTATAGTAAAATTTGAACACAGACGAAGTGGTTTAGAAGGCGATATCAGTTTATATAATACATTGGTAAGTTTCACTTTCTGTAAGGATCCAGATATGTTTACACTTGTCATTTTAAAAGTTTACAGATCAATGACTATACCTTTTTGTTTAAAACTTGCAACTGTGAGCAGTACAGGGATAAAATATTTTATCAATAATCATAACTTTTTCTTCAGATTGAAGATTATATTTTGACTCATTTACTGGTATTTTAAGTTTTACATGTATATATATATTCTATTTGGAGTTTATTATATCTTTTTATCTGATCTGTGAGTTTAATTTTAATAAATTTGAAATGCTTTCAAATATGTAATTATTTTTCAGGCTCAGCATAACACAAGAATGCTAGCTACATATGCAGCTATTGATCCTAGAGTACAGTACTTGGGATACACTATGAAAGTGTTTGCTAAGGTATTTATGAAAAAGTTAATGATCTGCTTTGTTATAGTACTCATGATATTAAAGTGAAACATACTGATACATCAGACTTGCAGAAAATATTTTCTCGGTTTTGTTTACCTGAGCTTTTAAAAAGAAATAGTCAATATTAAATCGTTGAAATTTATACCTATTAGAGTACAGTAATTGTTATTTTTTCCTTTGTGTACTCTCTTCTCATGGGTAACAGTAGTAAATTTCTCATAGTAAAATTTCTCAGTGCAGTAATGATTTTCAACCCCAGGCATAGGATTTGGCATACCATCCTGGTTAAGAATCCCTAGGTTAAGAAATCTGGTATTTAGGTTTAGTGATAAATTTTTCTGGCCAAGAAAAGAAAACAGTACCAAGAAAACTTTGTTTCCCTATTAAATAATAGTAAAATACTGAATTCTGGATTTTTCGGTTTTTTGCTAAGTGTGTAGAATCCATGAGAGTGGAGGCTTCTGTATCTTTAGTCCACTATAGTGCTGCTTTATGGTAGCTGTTTAGTAAATAGTTAATTTTGTGAATGCTTTGGTGGAAGGGTTTTATTAGGGAAATGACTTGTTTACATTTTCATTTCATAAAGCCTACTCTTTCAACAAGGAGACATATTCTTTTAGATAGTTCTATACATGTCTTTATGATAGAAGTCATCTTATAAAAGGAAGGCATCCAGCCATCATATTTGATACAATTTGGTCTTCTAGACTCACCTCACAAAATAAGTCCAACATGACAGTTTGGTACTGCCGTGGAGTTTTGATAATGAAAGCAAGTGGTTCATGTCAGAGAACTCATTCTTCTCCGTTTATATAATATCAGCTAAAGCCTCACTCAGGGGAAGTCTCTGAGAATTCTTTTAGGGTTTTTTTTTTTAATTAAAAATTTTTTTTGAGTAGTCAACATATTCATGTGGTTCAATATTTAAAAGGTTTAATGGAGTTTATGGCAGAAAATCTCCCTGCCACATCTGTCTCCTAGCCAACTAATACCTCTTGTTGGAAGCAACCAGTGTTACATGTTCCTCTGTAGCATTCTAGAAATATATTATTCCAGTACAAGAAAATAACACGAATTTCCTACCTCCTTTTTATTACAGGTATAAACATACTGAAAAAATTGTTTTGTAGTTTGATTTTTTAACTGAGCAATAGATTATTAAAGATTATTACCTATTAATATAATAAGAATTTCCTTGTCCCTTTTTAGTGGCTGCATACTATTCTACTGTATGGATAGGGATCCGTTTTTTAAACCTGTATTTTATTTTATTTTATTTTATTTTATTTTATTTTATTTTATTTTATTTTATTTTTTTAGATTCCACATATGAGCAATCTCATATGGTATTAAACCTGTACTTTATTAATGAGCTTTTTAAGTTCTTTCTGATTTTTTGCTATTAAGATAGTGCTACAATAAAAATCTTTTTATTTAGTCATTTCACGTATTTTTTGGCATATTTGGACGATGAATTCTTAGCATAGAATTGCTACATTAAAGGAAATGTGCTTTTGTAATTTTGATATTGCCAAATTATTCTTCATAAAGTTTATGTTAATCTTTAATCTAACTTATGATGTATAATGAATAAGAGTGCCTGTTTACCCATACCCTCTGTAATAGTTCATTACTGAACTTTTGGCTATTTGACAGTTTGATGGGTTTAAAAAGTGGTGTCTCAGAGTGGTCAGTATTTTTTCATGGAATGAGATTTTGAAGTTTTATTTTCAATCATTATGTTTTTTTTAGCGATGTGACATTGGAGATGCTTCCAGGGGAAGTTTATCTTCATATGCTTATATCCTTATGGTGCTGTACTTCCTGCAGCAGAGAAAACCACCTGTTATCCCAGTTCTACAAGAGGTAGGTGTTTAAGAAGACTATAAAGGCATTTCCTGTGAAAACAACAGATCTAAATACAATAAATCTTGCTCAGTTCATGAGATCATGAAGGATTTTTCCATCAAGGATGTCCTAAGTTTTCTTCTTCCATTAATGATATAATCAAACAAGGAACTTTATAAAAAAAAGTTTATTATGGGACAGTATATACTACCAAAAGTATATTAGATGAGTAGAACTGTTGAATATGTTTTGCAGCCTTTTTTGTATTTCACAGTCTTAGAATGCTGCCAGTGATTATGAAATTTGTAGCCATTCATGAACTTATATATTATAGTCTCTTGGCTGCAAATACATAAGTTCTTTTCAGAATATTCTCCCCAGTCCTGCTTGGCAATGAAGTTTGATTTATTCCTGTGTATTTGGTCAACTTTTTGAATTTGGTTGAGGAAAAACACATAAGGAAATTCTTCCTTATCTCTGTACTGTCATGTTAATTGCATTAAGCATAAGAATGTACATCAAAAGAAACAGATTATACTCATATTTACTTGGATTTGGTGACTCATAGAGTCCCTTTTTGTTGGCAATTTATACTCTAAAGTAGATACAAAGGAGTTCTTACTCATCCATCTGTTCCTCCTCATTCTTGGCACAAAGTGGATTTACAAGCACTGGGATGGATCAAGTTCTAATTTCTTAGAAGGGTGGTTATTTTGAGGTAGACAAGAAGCATCAGAATTGTTTGGAAAATCACATATTCTGATTTCACATAAACTGATAGTCCTGGCAAAGAAGAATATCACAAAATAGCCATATGGTGCATGTCAGATGGCCTTAGTAAGTTTTAAGAAGTTATAATGATTTTCTGTGATTTTTGCAGCATTTCCTCCCCTCTTAAATAAACAGTTGGAGAGAAATAAATTTAAATATCCTTTCCTATTAGAAACTTTTAAGTTGCTTGAATGTATGTTGAGTGATGTTTGTTTTTTTTAATAAGGTTGTTCACCATAGGATATTCAAAATTTAGCAGGGATTAATTAAGCCTGCCAAGGCCAGGATTATTCTCTGTATTAGTCTAATTGTTGTTAAGGCTTTAAATTTGGGGATCTTATGCATAATTACTCTAGTAATATTATAGCAGTCATTTGCTATAATTTGCTCTGACTTTGACAAAATACTATGATTAACTCAAATGGAACACAAATTTTGTTTCCATTGGGTTTGTCTCTGTTCTCTCATTATGTTACCTATGTATAAGGAACCATTGAGGCAGCATGATATAATGGAAAGAGCAGGCAGAACATGGTTTTGGAGCTAGAGATAACTGGTCTGAATCCTTATTTTTGACATGTTGCCTTCAACAAGCCGCCTGACTGCTACTAGTCTGAATTTCATCATCAGTAAAAATGTAATAATGGTAGCAGTATTTCAGCATTGATACAAGGAACAGAGACATTGAATGCCTTTGAATATAGTAGATGCTAAAGTGGGAGTTCATAAATGGTGATTGCTTGTATTACTACTCTTATTATTATTATTATTATTATTATTATTAACAGCTTTATTAATATTGTTATTGGAAAAATGCAGGTAGGATTGCTGTAGTCAAATTGAAGAACTGTTCCATTATCTGCTTAACAGACAGTGATTGATGAAATGAGAGACAGTCCGTGAAATATTTTCCATCATAATGAGCTCTGATTGTGGGGGGCTTTGTGATACATAGGAGCTGATGATATATGGATTTTTGCTTCTGGCCTTTTTTGCTTTTCATATGGGACCCCATTGTCCATTGCTCTGGCATCATTTAAGTATTGATCATTGGCATCGATCAACTTTTAAGGGTAAGGATATGTTTAATGAAGCTGATGATCTTTGACTCCATTTGTAATTCAATCTAGACTTTAAGTGACTGGGTAATAAGTAAGGCTCTGCCAAGAGTGTCTTCATGGTCAACAATACAGAGATCTTTAGGTCAAAAGGAGCTTTCTTAAGCAGAATTATTTTGCTGTATTCTATCAAGCCATCATACATAGAAGTAAATTTTCACAAAATTAATACTAAGAGGTTAAGGAGTGTTAGTCATACTTGATATTATGAACTTCTGTGTTTTCTTACCTTATATCAACTTAAAAATTACAGTTGACTGGATGAATCTTGAGAGCACTATGCTAAGTGAAATAAACCAGTCACAAAAGGACAAGTACTATGTGATTCTACTTATATGAGATACCTCGGGTAGTCAGATTCATAGAAACAGAAAGTAAAATGGTGGTTGCTAGAGGCTGGAGGGAGAAAGGAATGGAGAATTATTGTTTAATAGGTTCAGAGTTTTGAGTTTTACAAGACACAAGATGAGAAGAATTCTGTGGATGAACGGTGGTGGTGGTAATACAACAATGTGAATGTATCTAATGCCATCGAACTGTACACTTGAAAATGATTTAAGATGGTAGACTTTATGTTATGTGTATTTTACCACAACTGAAAAATAATAATTTTGAATATAGCAGTAGATATGAAAATACTACAACAGAATAAGAAAGTAAATATGGAAATATATAGGATCACTCCTTGTACAAGTATGATTGACTTGTTTGGTGAGGTTTTAGAAGGAAGACGTGAGTGCTTGGAGGATTATTGGTGTTGAGAGAAAGGAAAGAGAAGCAGAAAGAGAAAGTAAACGTGTGTGTAAGAGAAAGAGAGGATAGTATTAGTGTTTCTAAAGGCTGAAACAGAGTAGAAAGTGAAGCACTGTGAAAAATGGAAGTTCATAAAAATAGGTGACAAATCAGTGATTAAATACCCTCCAAATCCCACAGGTCCAGTTTACTGTGTTACTGTAGCCAACATAATTGGGTTTGGATCTTGGTTGTTACTCCAAAGTAAGAATTCTGTTAAAATAATCAAGGTCTCAAGAAGCAGCTTATATAATAGCATCTTAATCTATGAGGGCAAAATGTATTATTTGGCCTCTTTAAAACCTTCTCTATTTTATTTTTGAGGGCAGCAGCCCGTATTTTTTATTTTAGATATTAATATCTGTAATTATGGGTTTTCCTTTTTTTGTTTTATGAAATGTTAGAATTTATGCTAGATAATTCTTGGTAATCATATTTGTTTGTTATATGTAAATATTAAAAAACCAAGTATTAGCTTAAGTCCTTAGAAACCTGGTCTTTATGTAAATATGCTTACAGAGAAAATATATTCATTCAATAAACATATTAACTATTCTCTATATGGCAGGCTTTGATGTAATAGGAATTTGGGCTCCAGAGATAAGCTATAGTCCTTGCCCACAAGGAACTGAAACCAAAGAATGAAATTAAAGGGGTAGACATGTAGTTAATTTTATAAATCACTGTCTCATTTAAATGGAAGAAGCCTTAGGGACCACCTTGTCTAGTGGTTTTAAAGTATATTTTGGTAAGCTCTAGGAGCTCATTATTTGTGAGAAGTGGAGGAGGGAAAAGATAGGGCATGTGTTCTCCACTCAGGCTTTTATGACAGTACTTCTGTTTTTATCTGTTTTACATATTAAGATTCCTTAAAGTTTACATTTTAGGAAGGGGTTCTACAGCTTAAAAGAAAAATAAAATTTGAAAAAAACTGACCTAATTAATCTAATCTCTCATTTTTATTGGGAAAACCGAGGTTTTAGAAGAATTATCTTGCGCAGAATCACTACTTGGTGGGACTGACTATAAATGAAGTCTACTGATTCTGAACCTAGTCCACCTTTTTACTTTATTGCATCTCTTTAAAACTCTTATAGAAAATAAGTCTTAAAATTGTAGAGATCATTTGTGCCAGTACAGTCATCTTACGGAATACTTTTCTTTTAGTAAAGTAGCATTACTTTCCCTTCTTTCCTTAGGCCAGTGAATTACTACTCATAATTAATCATAAAGATTTCACAATTTTTATTAAGATGTCAGGGAAAGCTACTTAATTTTCTATTTTAAAAAATCAATGTCCTGGGCCTTTTCAGCTTTGTATGATACAGGTAACTGATTAAAGGTATTAGAGCCCTTCCCCAAAACAAACAGCTTCATTAATTTCCTTTAAGAAGATGTACAGTCAGTAAGTATTATCTTTTACATATTTATGCATTTGTGATCCTTTGATGAAAATGTCAGTTTTATTTTTCTTTAGTTTTACTTCATTAATCTTGGGCTGGATGTGTTTTGATAGGCCAAATATATAATATCAAAATGTTGTCATCTGCAGAGTCTGATGCTCTTAAGATATCCTTTCCCAGCTTTTGCCTTTCTGATACATTTTATTTGTTAGTAACTTGGCATCAAATTATACCATGCTGATGTATTCCTTTTGGAATAAGTATTTCAATATGTTTATTATAGATAAATTCTCAAATGATATGAGGGTATTTAGGCTTTTGGGTTGGATAACTCAAAATCTAATAATGAAATTAATTTTTAAATGCAGATCTTTGATGGAAAACAGATCCCACAGAGAATGGTTGATGGATGGAATGCTTTTTTCTTTGATAAAACAGAAGAACTGGTAATTTTTTTCAGAGTTTTTATGTTATAGAATGCTCACTGATACATGTTAGGATTTGCATAATTTAATTTAATAGTTTTTCTTGGATTTGGGGTCCATATTTTGGATAAATATAGACATTTCTCTCTTTTTCTTACCTATAGAAAAAACGTTTACCTTCACTTGGAAAGAACACAGAAACATTAGGAGAGCTTTGGTTGGGGCTGCTTCGCTTCTATACTGAAGAATTTGATTTCAAAGAATATGTAATTAGCATTCGGCAGAAAAAACTTTTGACAACTTTTGAGAAGCAGTGGACATCCAAATGCATTGCAATTGAAGGTAATCATTTAGCTGATATTAATTCAGGAGCAAAACAAAAAGCAAGAGTTTTATTTGGCTGATGAAATTGAGGGGAAAACTGAAACATTAGAGTCTGGAAGATTCTTCCTCTTGATCTTTATGAGTTTCCATCCATTAATCTATAACTATAAAAGAATAATTTCCTGACTTTGGTCTGAGTTATATAGTATTAGACTAGTTTTGACTACTAAGTATATTTTATATTACTGTGAGCATTATTCTTAATTAAAAAATAAAATATTTCTTTTCTAGACCCTTTTGATTTGAATCATAACCTTGGTGCTGGAGTTTCTAGAAAAAGTAAGTTTTAAATATAGAATTCCCCTGCTTTTGAAGCTCTTACACAATAAGGTCTACATTTTTATTGTTTTCTTTTCTTCAATAGTGACCAATTTCATCATGAAAGCATTTATCAATGGAAGGAAACTTTTTGGTACCCCCTTTTATCCACTCATTGGCAGAGAAGCTGTAAGTTTATATAATTTGAATTCTGAATCCTATTTCTTTTAGAACTTTTTTTTTTTTGTACAAGAAACCTAATCCTGTTTCCAAGTTGGTGTTAGCAATAGGGAAAGAGATGGTTATAATTCCTTCTATTTTTCTTATTGTACTTATCATAGTCCATATGAAATGTCCATTTGCTAAATTTTGTTTATGTAATGTATTTGCTAAATTCTGTCTCCCCCACTAGACTGTAGCTCCACAAGGGCAGGGTCCGTGTCCATAAGTTTCACCATCATATCTCTAGTTTCTGGCACATAGGATGTACCAAATAAGCATTTGTTGAATGAATGAGGGTGGATAATCAATACTCAGGATCCTTAAATACTGAATTTGAAATGCTGCCCACTGCTTCTCTTCTGTCTCTAGAAATCTTGATGAAAATATAAACAGAGATGACTACACCGAAAACATAGTTTATTATTTGCTGAGGCCTCTGCTCTAATTATGGTGTAGCCATTGGATTCCTTTTCCCTGAACTGGATGGTATAGTGATCCCTATTTCTCTTGGTCTCATTCTGGTTTTTGGTTGCTTTCCCATGGGAGGAAGTCTCAGTTTCACAGAGAAAGAAGCTACCAAAAGAAGAAATCTCAAAACAGAAACCATACTTCTGTAACTGCATAATGAATATCCTTGACCTTGTTCAGTTTAGTTTCAGCATTCTTTCTTGGGAGTATGGGGTAAGAAAAGCAGAGAGAAGTCTAGAGCTTTTTTCTCGTGTACCATTTTTGATAGTCTTGCCTCATATAGTGATAATTATTATAATGGAGAGAAATAACTGAAATTTGAAACAACACAAATTCATTAGGTCCCTCTATTTATTAGGTCCTCTGACATGTTGATCTATTTTCTCCCAATCTATCAGCTATTTTCAGTCTTAATTTTTTTCTGAGTAGATTTAGCTTCCCTGGTCTACTCTCTGGCATAGACTTTAAATTCCTTTGCACCATTGTCCTTCTTTTGTACCCTTATGTTTTCAATCTTGTATGATTTCAGCCACCACCATCTCTCTATGCTTGGGCTGAGCACTAATGGAAAAAAGTTTTATTTATATAGTATAGTATAAATTAATGTTCACTAGCCTCAACTGGTTTCAATACCATCTGACATTCTTACTACATTTCTTTAGTTATTTGTGTCTCTCGTTCAATAAGAACTATTTCAAATTTAATTTATTTTACTCAAAATTCAATACCCATTGAATTTTGAATTTTGTCCCACCTGTTATCTCTGCCCTACTCACACTTAGATGTTTTCCTTTTGAGACAAAGATGGTGTCGAATAGATATTCCTTCTACTTTCTGCTACCAGATCTACAAATGTACCTGCATCTGCAGATATCTCTCCTTTATCAGATACTAATTCTTCCATATGCACTCAGATCCATTAATTATTCTCTTTACCTTGACTCTTCAACCTCTTTATCTGTGAAGAACATTTTCAAAAATGAAATACATAAAATATAATTGCAGGTTAGCATTAACAGATGAACATTTGCCTTCAATTTTTTTAAATAAACCTTTCTTCTTTTCTAATTGTACATTTATTATTTTTCAATTTTTGCATCTTTCCTTTTAAACGGAGGTACTAGGGATTCAACCCAGGACCTTGTGCATGCTAAGCATGCGCTCTATCACTGAGCTGTATGTACCCCACCCTCTGCCTTCACTTTTAATGATAGAGAGCACTAACCTTGAGCCTTGGTTAAGCAGAATGTCTCCCCTAGAAAGTATCTCTTTCTTCTAATTAGTAAACTTTATTACAGAAAAAGTATACTCAATTATTAGTAGTATATTTTGAAATTCTTCAATTAAAATTTAGTAGAAATTCACCTTCTCTCTTGCCATGTAAGTACTTAAATATTATCTTCAGTTTTACAACAGCTAAAATATTTACTATCTGGCTCTATACAGAAAAAATTTGCTGACCCCAGGTCTAAGCCACTTTAACTAGGATGGTGGGATGGAGAAAAGTAGATTAAAGAGATGTTCAGGAATAGAATGGGTACAACTTGGTGATTAATTAGAGGTGATGGGTGAAGGAGAATAGGTTCAGAATGATTCCTAAGTTTCTGTCTTAAGCAGCTGGGTGAATTGAGAAACACCTTCATTTTGTCTTGTCAGAAAATATGATGATGAAGATTTTAATTTAGTTACATTGGTTTCATCAATAGTAAATGTGAAGAAGTATATATCTCATCCTGTTTTAGAAATACAGCTTTATTGAAAAATAGTACATATACTGTACGGTTCATCTGTATAAAGTGAGCAATTCAGTGGTTTTCAGTATATTCACAAGATTGTGCAACTGTCACATATAATTTTAGAACATTTTCATTGGGTATCAAGGAAATCCTTGTCCCCATTAGCAGTCAGTCCTCACTCTTTTCCTCTCACTCCCCAAACTGCTAATCTACTTTTTGTCTCTGTAGATTTGCCTATTGTGGACATTTTATGTAAATAGAATCATAGAATATATAGCCTTTTGTGACTGGTTTCTTTCATTTAGCTTAATGTTTCCAGGGTTTGTTCATGTTTTATCAGTACTTCATTTTTTTTTTATAGTTGAACGATATTCCATTGTGTGGTTATATTACATTTTATTTATTCATTTATCAGTTTGTCAGACATTTGAGCTGTTTCTACTTTTTGGCTGTTATGAGTAGTGCTGTTATAAATATTTGTGTACAAAATTTTGTGTGGATATATGTCACCATAAACTATTTCCTAAAGGAACTGTGCTATGTTATACATTTCCACCAGCAATATATGAAGGTTCCAGTTTTTCCCCATCCTCACTAACACTTGTTAATGTCTGGTTTTTTTTTTTATAGCCATCCTAGTGGGTCTATTTCTCATACTTCTATCCCTAACATTAGATAGATTTGAAGAGCTCTAAGTGTATGTTCTTTTGTCTTCCAAGGATTGGGTACCATTAGGACAAACCAGTCTTTGTGATGGCGCAAAACTGAACTACAGTTTAGAAGGATAAGCAAAGTACTAGGATAAAGCAAAAATGAGCCTGGTTTTTCTAAGACTTGGGGAAAATGATTTAATTCCTATTGATTCCTTGTAGTCTCTTTAGATATACGCTACCTTTTATAATAAATGTTATATATTCTTGAAATATTGAATGCAAATCCAATGATATTTTAAGTCAGAACATTGACTTATTTACATAGAATTCTTTTGTAAAGAGACTAATTCCTTTCTGCCTGGTGGAGCAGAAAACATGAGCTTTGTACTAAGACAGACTTAGCTATAAATCCTTTATCTTTTACTTACCAGCTTTTTTGCTGTGGGCAAATGACTTGAACTCTTTGAGCCTCAATTTCCTCACCTATAAAATGAGCATGAAAATAGTATGCACTTTATTGAGATATTACACAAAGATACTACAGATGAATGAGAAAGATAATGTGGATGTAAAGTGATTAGTACTGTTAGCAGCTATGATACTGATGATGATAATTCTGAATCTTGTTTTCATATCATGATTTTTGTTACAGTGAAATATTTGACATTTATTTCCTTCTTTTAAAAAAAAACACTTTTGCATCTTGGTCTCCGTTTCATTTAGATTCAGAAGTTTATAGTGATTTTTTTTTCTAGTAAAGTTGTATTTTCTCCCTAGGAGTACTTCTTTGATTCCAGAGTATTAACAGATGGAGAACTGGCTCCCAATGATCGGTGTTGCCGTGTGTGTGGAAAAATAGGCCACTACATGAAAGACTGCCCCAAAAGGAGAAGGTTGGCAAATGATTATGTATCAACATTACAGGGGAAATAAATGTGAGGCAAAGTGAAGCTGTAACTGTGTTCAGATATGTTTAAGTTGAGAAAGTTCAGGACTTTCAGTTGGACCTTAGGTAAATGTATATTTGAATGGAATTTTTTTTGAAAGAGTGAGGTTTGTTTGTGGTACAGTGGTGTCTCATGATGTTTATTTGTTTATTTATTCATTAATTCATTCAGGTTTTTTTTTAATTGAAGAAGCATTTATTGACACCTACTATGTGCTGGGATCTGTGCTAGGAGCCAAGGGGGAAAAAAGACCAAGATATGGGGTTCTTGCTGAGGAGCTCGCATTTATGAAAACTAGTAATTAAAATATGATTAACTGAATCTTTGAGGTTTATGCTGTGAATTATACCTTTATAATATATACCTTAAGGAATATATATCCTCTGTTTCCTCTAAAAATATATCTGAAATATTCTTTCCTGTGTTCTATATACTATGTTAATGGATCAGGAAAATCTCTTTGTTAGTCATCAAGTCCTGCATAATATAAAGAGCTTAGAAATTTTGAGATAGAACAGACTCCTAGTTTCCATCACTGCTATTTGTTAAATTTAGGCAAGACACTTAACCTCTCTAAGCCTCAATTTCTTCCTCTATAAAATGGAGATAATAAATACAAGCCTCTAAGGATTGTTACAAGATAAAATTTGGTATTAAACATTTTTTAAAATTTAATATTATAAAACTACTAGATACCCAGTTTCTGCCTTTTAAGTAGGTGTGCTATAAATGTGAGTACCTTGCCTTCAAAAAGATGCATGAAACAATGGGCATGCTAGTCTCTTTATTGTGAGACTCTTGTATAGCTTAGTTTGTTCTGTGGCTCACTCAGTTTATAAGTCCCTAGCTCCACATTATTGGTATCAGCAGTTTACTGTTTAGACTAAAGAAGAAAGACAGTGAAGAAGAGAAGGAAGGGAATGAAGAGGAGAAAGATTCCCGAGACCTTGACACCCGAGACCTCCACGACACTCGAGACTTTAGAGACCCCAGAGACCTCAGATGTTTTATATGCGGAGATGCAGGACATGTGCGAAGGGAGTGCCCAGAGGTCAAGCTGGCCCGTCAAAGGAATAGCAGTGTGGCAGGTAAATAGAAAAGGCGAAAAATACAGTTTCTGGTGGAAATAAAGTCACTTATGTTGATGTCATTCTAAGACCTTGATTCCTCTCTATTCTAAACCTAGCTGTGTGATTTTGGACCTTAGAATTTATTAAAAAGAGAAAATTTAGACAGGCTTTTATTTTGCATAGTACTTGGATATGCTCAGTATCAAAGTCTTAGTAGTCTGATGTATTTAGTCAATTCGAAGTATTTTTTGAACTTGAGTCACATTCTTCATTTCTCTTGCTATCAAAAGTTAACAATAGTTAACTTTTTTCCTTCAGAAGTTAATGAGAGATTTTTTTTTTCTGGAAACATATAAGAGAAATTATATCTCTTCTCACTACTTCTATGAGAGAAGATCTGTTCCTGTTTTATTTCATAAGGAATTTTACAAATTAGGAACCTAAATGAGAGTTTATTGAAAGAAAACAATAGGATATTTTATAAGTGATGATTTCCATTATTCAGATTCATGGTGCAGATGTTATTTTCCTAAATAAATATATTGTCATCTTTAGAAAAGTAGTGTGACACTTGTTCTTGTTTCCAGGACCAGTGTATTTTTTTTTTTTTTATGAACTGAGTATTGAGAAATGGCTTAAAAAAATAAGTTGTTACAAGTCCTTGACTAATATAATCATAGTTTAAAAGTCCAAGTTTATAAAGTCTCAGATTTGAGATTGTACAGAGGAAGGGAGTTTATTGTCATTTCTCTCCTATTTATTTTCTTTATCCATTAAATTTCTTTTTGATGTCTTCTATTAGCAGCCCAGCTGGTCCGCAACCTTGTAAATGCCCAGCAGGTGGCTGGTTCAGCCCAGCAACAGAGTGATCAGTCCATAAGGACTAGACAGTCCTCAGAATGTGTAAGTACTCTGCCTGCAAAGGGATAGTCTTGGCAGGAAGATAGCACTAATTTTGGTGGGTGATAAAGTTGGTCTTTCATGTTGGCAAATATGATCTTCCAGATTACACAGTACTTTGTAGAGGTGTCTTTGCTGGGCACATCAGCTAAAATGAACATTGCTTCTAGAATAATATACATCTGGGTTTATATTTATGGGCAAGCTCCTTAACTTCATTGAACCTCTTCCTTATTTGTAGAATAAGATAACTACCAGATAAGGTTGTTGGTTGGATTAAAATAAGGTAATAACTTTGAGGTTGCAGGCTTTGCCTAATGGAAGAATGTGAGTACTGTTAATAAAAATAGACCCCAAAATTGAGATGTATTAAGGGTTTAGTACTGTTAGGACAGTAGGTGTATGGCACTTCACTTGCTTGAAACTTTTGTGTGTCTTCTCACAGATGAATACCTAGTCAAATACGCCCTCTAAAAGACAGCGTATTGAATTAGAATTCAGATTGATAAGTTTCATATTAACTTTGCTGAGTTACTCTAACCTTTATCTAAATCTGTATTTCCCTTGTACTTCTTAAATTAATTAAATATTAATTGAATGCTTACTCTAAATCTGACACTGTGCTTTAGTGTTTCACACTTATTATTAACTGCAGTTCTTTGAAAGGCCATGTGAAGTAGTAGGTATTAGTTTAATCAAATTTTACAAATTGGGAAGCTGAAAATAAGAGAAATTAAAAGATTCAAACCCAGGTCTATGTAGCTTCAAAGCTGTTAACTATTACATGTGCTAAATCTGTTATGATCAGTGTTTTAGAAAAAATTCTTAGAGCATTTAAAGAGCAGTAGTAGGGATTGTCTTAGGAAAACATATAGTAGCCCACTAACTCCCCCTCAAACTTTGAACACCTACTGTGGACTTTGATATTTTCAAATGTTACATAACAACAATAATATTAGCTAACATTTGTTGCGTGCTATATATGCATTATTTCTTCTTCTTTCTTATAAAACATTTTTAAAATACTGAAAAATATAGAAAATAATAAACAACCATGTACTGCCACAAGTCTTTAACAATTCTTAGTGTTTGATTATTTTTGGTTTGTGAAAAAATTACCCATACTTGACAACCCCTATGCATTCCTCTTGGATGCTTTTTCCATCTTAAAATTTTCCTTCCGTCACTTTCTTGCTGCTTAAATGTATCTGCTATCCTGAATTTGGTGTTTATATTTTTGACTTGTATTGTTGCAGTTAATCTTCATGAAAACCTATGATGTAGATTCTATTATTAATACCTCACAGGTGAAGAAACTGATTTAAGTTTCTTGCATGAGGTCAACAGACACTTGGAACCAGAACTTGAACTCTTAGGTTCTGTCTCCAAAACCTATGCTTTAGCCACTTTCCTGTGCTGCCCCTAACTTTCATTTTCTGCTTCTAGCACTCATTTTTCTCTCATCTGAGATTTGGGTAAGAATCTGACTAATGGGCATTGTTATTTGGAGGTCTCACAAAGCACTTCAGCTTCAGACTCTAGAATGTAGCTTACATTTCCCTGCAACTTGACTCTTCCTCCTGTGTTCTCCATTTCATTGAATGATCCCACTATCTAGTTCCTGAACTCCTCCCCCACATGCAATCAATCAAAGTTCTGTTGTTTCTGTCTATAAAAATAGCTCACACCCATTTGCTTCTCTCTGTCTCCCTATATTGTATTTCCCTTGCCTAGGCAATCATTGTTTCAGATTCTGGTTACTTTAAAAGACTGTGTTTTCATACCTATAGACCTTCAGTCATGTTGTTTCCTCTGACTGAATCTTCTCTTCTCCTTATCCCTACTCTCTTTTATCAAACTGGTTTCTATTTACCCTTGATTTAGTTTAAAGATCACTTCCTTCAGGAATCTTTCCGTGATTTACACTTTCCTTCATCTTATCTTCTCTCCTTCTCCCAAAGTGGGTTTAGGTATTCTTGCTCTGGGATTTCATTATACACTATACAGTCTTTATCATAGTAATCACTGTATTTTATTGTGATGGCTTATGTAATCTTTATCTGTTCTTCCTCCTTTCTAGACTTTAAGCTCTTGAAGACATGCATGTTAGTATTTTCTTTCTCTTTCCTAGGATACTTTTTTATTCAGAGATCTCTAAACATTTTTTTAAATTGAAGTATTGTCAGTTTACAATGTTGTGTCAATTTCTGATGTACAGCGTTGTTTCAGGTACACATACATACATCTATTCCTTTTCATATTCTTTTTCATTATAGGTTACTACAAGATATTGAATATAGTGTCCTGTGCTATATAGCATAAACTTGTTGTTTATCTATTTTATATATAATAGTATCTGCAAATCTCAAACTCCCAATGTCTCTTCCCACCCCCTTTTCCCCCTTGGTAACCATAAGTTTTTCTTCTATGTGAGTTTGTTTTCTCATTTGTAAATGAATTCATTTGTGTATTTTTAAAGATTCCACATATAAGTGGTATCATACGGTATTTAAAACAGTTTTTTTAAGAGTGGTACTACGGATTGAACCTAGGACCTCACACATGCTAAACATGCACTCTACCACTGAGCTATTACCACCACCACCACCAACTCCATATTGTATTTTAAATACCTAGAACAATGCTCGGTACATAATTGGTGCTTGTTGAGGAACTGAATTCAAGTGACTGTAAGATGTTTAGGTGTAAATTTCTAGTTATAGTTGGAATTTTGGGTTCTACATTATGGGACTGATGTCTGGGCTCTCTCTTCTTTGGACAGTAAAAAGGTTTATGAGGTAAAACCTATGTGAAAGAGGGTTTGAGAAACTTGGAGAAAGTTCTACATTCATATAAAGTGAGGTTCTATTTGTTATGCATATCATAGAGTTCTATTTATAATTTTCTAATGAAATAACTTTGTAGTTTTATATTTGGATAATTTCTGCTTTTATAAAATTAAGAGGTTTGTAAATTAACTTTAAAATGTATCTTTTTTTTTTTTCCTCTGCAGTCTGATTCACCATCTTATTCTCCCCAGCCCCAGCCATTTCCACAGAACTCTTCCCAGTCCACTGCCATTACCCAGCCTCCATCCCAGCCAGGATCTCAACCCAAGCTTGGCCCACCTCAGCAGGGAGCCCAGCCCCCACATCAAGTCCAGATGCCTATGTATAACTTTCCCCAGTCACCACCAGCTCAGTATTCTCCCATGCACAATATGGGATTGTTGCCAGTGCACCCTCTCCAGATTCCTGCCCCATCCTGGCCTATTCATGGCCCAGTAATCCATTCTGCACCAGGCAGTGCCCCCAGCAATATTGGCCTAAATGATCCCAGCATCATCTTTGCACAGCCTGCTGCCAGACCTGTGGCGATCCCTAGCTCCTCTCATGATGGACACTGGCCTCGTACTGTCGCTCCGAATTCCCTGGTGAACAATGGTACAGTAGGGAATTCAGGTAACCTTTCCTTTTCTTCTTTTGTGTGTGTCTGTTTGTAGAAAGGTTGGATGATTGGTATTGGTTGAACCTGGGGAAATTAATGTGAGGAAAAGGATGGTAAGCAGTATTTGTGGAAGGGCAGTATAGGATTAGATAAAGGTAAAGAGTATGGGCTGTGGATTCAGATTATCTGAATTTGAATACTGGCTCTGCCACTTATTATGTGGCATTGGGCAGTTGCTTAATCTCTTTGTGCATTGATTTCATTTGTAAAGTAGGTGTATTGATAGCTTCTAATTCACAGGGTTGTTGTGAATATTAGATGAAGTAATAAACATAAAGGTTAGTTATTATCTTACTATTTTAAAATTTCACTACAATTCTGCTTGGTATAGGTATTATTAGCACTCATTTTACAGTTGAGGAAATTGAATAGTTAAATAACTATCATGCTATCATGATTAATCATAGCAGGTCCAAGATTTAAACCAGTTTCTTTCTTCAAACCTGTAACTTTGCTCTGGACCCTTATTATCTTTTAGTAAGGAACAATTTTTTAAAAAGAAGATTAGTAGCACTTTGTATCATTAAAAAAAATAGTTTTTTTTTTACTGATATCTAAGTAACACATATTCCTCATAGAGTGTTTGAAAAAGAAGAAAATCATATATAATCTCAATTCCTAGACGTAACTGCTAAGAAATATTTTGATTTATTACCATCTAATCATTTTTTATCTTTGCATATTTAAAAATAATTGTTAAATGCCATTAATCTAGTTTTATATTTAAGTTTTAGTGATATTTTTATTTAAAAAACTGAATACAGAAAATTTTGAAATGTACACAAAAAGAGAGAGTAAAGAATAATGAACCCCCCCCATTACCCAGCTTTAACAGTTGTCAGTATTTGCTGTTGTTTTTTCTGACCCCTTTACCCCATTAAAAAAAACTGGCTTGAATATTTAATTAAATCTCAGACATTGGATCAAATTTGCTTATAAACTTGAGTTTTTTTTTTAAATCACAAGACCATTACCATACCCAGTGTCATATATTACCCAGTCTTTGTTCATTTTCTCCTATTTCTCTAAAATTATTGTTATTGTTGATTTGTTTGAATCAAGATTCAAACAAAGCCCATACACCATATGTGGTTATTATATCTCATGTCTCCTTTAATTTATGACAGTTCCCACTCACTATTTTTCCCCCATATTAACTATTTATTGAAGAGACTATAGAATTTTCCACATTCTGGTTTTGACTGATTGTATCTTTGTAGCATTGTTTAACATGTACCGCTGTTCCCTTATTTTCTATAAACTGGTATTCAGATCCAGGTGCTGGATTAAGTTTGGAGTTTTTTGTTGGCAAGAATCTTAATTCCTGGTTGGTCCTTGTACATATCTTCCTTCACTTCAGGAGAAACTTACTGTCTAGTTGTTCTTTTTTTAGTGAGTTAAGATTGATCATTGAGTTAGGTAGTGTCAGTCTGTTCTAGCCACTATAAAGTGCCTCATTAATTTTTACATAACAATCTTAGCTGCCATTGATCATTATTGATAATGGCTGATATCCATTATTTCACTAAGGTTTGTTAAGTGATGATTTTCTGTTTACTACTTGTGATTCTTCTGTAATTTACTATGATTATTTTCCTTATTAACTACTCGGTTATCCTGAAATATCATTTGTATAGGACATGTAGACTAAAAGCTTGTTTCTTTCCCTTTATTACTTTTCAAAAGAATTTTAGTGATAATTTTAAACAAATATATGCTATTCCTTAGAGCACTATGATGGAGGAGGAATCTCTGACTTCTGTTGCAATAATATAGATAATACAATTTGTTGAGCAGAAATGCCAGAATGTGGGAACTCATTAGAATTTCCAGGATCAAAGGATGTATGTCATACATGGCCATTCTAATGTGGACTCTCCTTCTCTCATTAAATATTTACTGTGAACATGCCATGGTATGGTCTGTGATAGTCACTGAGTAGACAGATCCAATGTCTTACCCTTTGATATATTGGCTCAGTTTTTACAGTTTTAAGTCCTCCCTCTCCCCACCACTAGTTGATCTGTTTCAGCCTTAATAAACTAATTAACATCCTATTAACACACTGTACTATATTTTACCCCTGATTATTTACCTAAGTTGTTCCCTCTACCTGGAATGCCCTTTCCATTAACCCTTCTATTCACTCTAACCTCCTTCTGCTTTACTCCAAAACTTGGCTAACTTACTCATCCTCCATTTTTAAACTTAGATCACTTTCTTCAAGATTTTAATTCTTTTTGATCCTATCCTCCATTTGTATTAGGTATCCTTTCTCTCCTCCATATTTCCTTAGTATCCATATCATAACACTGGTCTTACCGTGTTGAAATTTCCTGTTTACTTACCTGCATAACCCATTAGACTGAACTTCTGGAGGCTATGAATTGTTCCTTTTTAAAATTTAATTATTTTTTTATTGAAATATAGTCAGTTTACAGTGTTGTGTCAATTTCTGGTGTACAGCATAATGTTTCAGTCATGCATATACATACATGTATTTGTTTTCATATTCTTTTTTATTATGTTACTATAATACATTGAATATAGTTCCCTGTGCTATACAGAAGAAGCTTTTCTATCTATTTTATATATATATATTAGTATCTGCAAATCTCAAACTCCCAATTTAGCCCTTCCTACTTCCCACCCCACCCCCCGGTAACCATAAGTTTGTTTTCTGTGAGTCTGTTTGTTTTGTAAATAAGTTCATTTGTGCCCTTTTTTTTCAATTCCACATATAAGTGATATCATATGGTATTTTTCTTTCTTTTTCTGGCTTGCTTCACTTAGAATGATGATCTCCATGTCCATCCATGTTGCTGCAAATGACATTATTTTATTCTTTTTTATGGCTGAGTAGTATTCCATTGTATAAATATACCACATCTTTATCCAGTCATCTGTCGATGGACATGAATTGTTTCTTGTCTGTCATTGGCTTCCTACTGTCCAGTGTAGTGCCTGATGTAAGGTAGATACATTATTTGTATAACATACTATTATTATATAATAAACTATTATATTACTAAGCAAATATTTATTATTTGTTGGATGGGTGTGCAACTCTTAGTTAATATTACAACTAAAATTAGCATTATATTAAAAATGGAAAGACTAGATGGGAATGTATTAAAATGATAATAGTAGTTGTATTAGAGTAGGAGTTTGAGTTTTTTCCCCATTTTTCACATTATCTTTAATGAGGTTATATTACTCATATTATGAAAATATTTGGTTGTGAAAAATGGCCAGGAGAGATTGGAATATATTCTCAAGAGTATCCTTTTATGTTAAAACATTATTTCTCAACTAGTCATGACCTCAAAAATGTATACCCAGTCTTATTTTTTGTAAACTCTGAGCTCTTCAACTTTAGCTCTTAGTTGTAACTTGGCTTTATGAACTTACCGTGAACCAGCTGCTTCATTTATCTCTTACCTCCTGAGAAGACTGAACTTGTAGGAGTGAAGTTAGTATGGGTTTTAGTTTTCTTGGTCCCTACTCCCCCCTGTCCTAAACCTCCTAATTTGAGTTCCTGCTAGAACCTTTAGTGAATAAGGGCAGTGTCTTTCAGATTATTTCCTGCCACATTGTGATCCTGAATGAGAAAAGCCACCAAAAATGATTTGGAAGATCCAGGGATTACTGCATTTTGAAAGATATGTAAAAATAGATCCTAAAGGGAAGTAGATTGGTGGGAGTGGTTTGCCATAGAAAGAAGAGGACTCGTATTTTTTGAGTTCCTACTTACAAGCCAGAACTTGTGCAGGCCACTTTATTTTTATTATCTACTTTAATCCTCACAACAACCTGGGGTTCATAATTGAACCTTAGTAATTTTTTGGAACTGATATTTGAATTTATACATACTTGGTTCTAAAACCCAAGTTTTCAAGCATTTCACCACAATGCCTCAACTTCTAATAGGATCTCAGGCCAAGATAGAATTGATTCTATGATAGCTGACATTGTCTTTAGGATAAAATGTAAGCTACTTAAGGAGGTGTTAAGATTCTTTTAAATATAGATCATACCTACCTGTCCAGCCTTTTCTCTTACCACTTCGTCTCTTTACCCCTGTCTGTTGCTGATTATTTTGCAGCTTCCCAAACTTGCTGTACTTTCCTGCTTCATGGCTTTTGAATACATTATTCCTTCTGTCTGAAATGCCCTCCTTGCCCCATTTTGCCTGACTAACTAGTTCCTTGTTCTTTAAAACTCGTTAGTCAGTCATCTTAGGAAAACCTTCTCTATCCTTGAACTGTGCTAGCCCCCTCTTTAGGCACCTTCCAAACTGTTAGGGCAATTACCACATATTATTGTTTATGTTTTCTTAAATGTTTATGAATAATTTGAGTAACAATTACAGTGTTTCATTCCTTAAAAAATTTTTTTTGGTATCCTCTGCTTTTAGCATATTTCTTGGCCAGTGGTAGAAACTTAATAAATTTTTGTGGAATGAAAGAATGTTTGAATGAACAAACTGATGTTTTAAAATATGTCTTTCCTTTATCATTGAAATGCAGAGCCAGGATTTCCAGGACTGAATCCTCCAATTCCTTGGGAACATGCACCACGACCCCATTTCCCTCTTGTCCCAGCTTCGTGGCCTTATGGTTTGCATCAAAACTTCATGCATCAGGGAAGTGCCAGATTTCAGCCCAACAAACCTTTCTATACTCAAGGTACCATTGCTTACATATTTGTTAACAAGCTGGGTGGGTTTTGTTCTGTGACAAGGAGCCTTTATGATGGCTAGGATCTGGAAATGAAAAGTTGTGAATTCAGTAAACATTTTTTGAGAGAACATACTGTGTGTCAGACTGTACTAGGTGCTTATTGCTCAAGTAAGTATTAAATAAAACCCCTATATTTAATGTGTATTTCATTAGAAGAGTCAGACATATAAAACAGACAAGAATAGGAGCTTAGAGGAATCAGTTAACTTTGCCGTAGCAGAGAGTGCAGGATATGGACACCAGGGATCAAATCGCAGATTTTAACGTTTGAACTAGATCTTGAAAGACATTCAGGATTTTTTTCCTAGAGATTATATTGGAGGTTAGAGAAGAGGAGTGTTCTTAGCTGAGGCAATAAATAATATATACAAAGTTACTGAGTTTTGCCTGGCATAATGAGAAAAGGATAGGAAAAAAGAGAAAATAATAGGACTAGAGGATGAGGTAAATGGGAAAATGTGTAGGTGATGAGGCTAGAGAAGTTAGGCTGAGGCCATATTATGAAGGAATTTGGACTCAGTTTACAAAGTAAGTGGTGGAGATCTAATAGAAATTTTTAAGTTGAGTAGTGACATAGTCAAATTTGTTTAGTAAAACTGAGACTTGAATGACATTAGAATTCATTAAATTTTGTTGCTGCTAATGTATGAATAATGGCTTTAATCTAATTAGTGAATATTATAAACTAAGGAGAAGTCCAAGGAACTTGTAGAATTTTATCTAGCCTATCTGTCTCATAGGTATCTCAATCCAAATAAGGAATGTCTGAGTCTGGCCTTCAGCTCTTGGCTAACATAGGAGTTAAAAAAAACCTAGAGTCAGTTAATACAGTTAAACTAGGAGTTCAAGAAATTAAAGAAAGGTATTCTGGAAATATTGACTGAATAAAATAACTTTTAAAGGGAAGCCCCTGGTATGATTATCAGGTTTGATACATTTAAGCTTTCCTAAACTGTCCTTGTACTCCTAGGGCATCGCTGTATTATAGAATGACAGAACTTCGGCTGGTTTCTTCTGAGTAAAGAACTAGGGCTAAGGAAAATTACTATTGGTCATACAAGCCATTTTAGGGGAAGGGGAGAGTCTGAAGTCCTTCCCTGGTGGGATTGTTCCCCTTAATTCCTCCCATCCATCTCCCTTTTGTCTCCTCTCTTACTTCTCACATACTTACATGTTCCTTGCCTCCTTGTCCTTCTCCCCCTACTAAATGTTTTGACATGCTTCATCTCCTCTTTACTGTATAAATATAAAAAAAACAGAACTAGCTACAAGTTAATTCTAAAGAGTTGTCAGATAACTAGGCACAAGCCTTTCAGTTTCCTGTCTGTATTGTGTCCAACAGACAGATGTGCCACCCGTCGGTGTAGAGAGCGTTGTCCCCACCCACCAAGAGGAAACGTGTCGGAGTAATGCGAGTCCATTTTCTTTCAGCTGGTCTACCGATGCACAGCAACCAGCCAATCCTGCTGTCTCAAGGGTATCCGTACCTCAATGTCAGTTACATTCAGCAGAAAAAGTGACATTTAATGGAAAGCAAAACAAAATCAGGTCCTGATTTAAAATTTTAACACGTTTAGATAGCTTATTTAAATTCTAAGACTGTTTTTAAAGACTGTATTATTTGTATATAAATATGAACTATAGTTTTTACTAGTATCACCAAATTCAGTGATACAAATTTCATCTATTTTATTACCCTATTTTTAAGGGAATTTTATGTTTTGTTTAACCTTGATGAATTGTATAAAGAGAGAATTTAAAAAATTACATTCTTTATTTTCTATTAGCTGTATTCATACTTTGGTTGCTTCAGACTTTATATATATTGTTCTTAAGAATTAGGAAAGACTTTCATGTGTTTTAAATTTGTCACTTCTATTCTTTACAGAACCTTGTAGTGCCAAAATTTTTTTAAAAGGTTAAAAAAATAATAATAAAATAAAATTACAACATGAAGATTCAGAATTTTTTTCTTTTACATTCTTGTATATTGAAAATATTCAAACTTGAACAGAAATTTGCTTTTGTCTGTATTTGAAGTAATTCTATTTTAAATTAATAAATCTTTTTGACAAGAGTCCAATTTGGTTAATTCATCTGGTCATTAAGATAATGGGAATATAATGTAACAATTTAGAGATTTGTTTCACTCTCTGTGAATAGAGTATTCTAAATCATAGACTTAGTTTTAGAAAAAGATCCAAGGGTCTTTTCATGTTATTTTACTGAATCTTAACAACAACTATGAAATTGGTAGAAGCCAATGCTGTCTCCATTTTATCATTGAGAAAATTGAGGTGCAAAACAAAGTGAATTCTAAAGGTAGCACACTTAACATGTTGGAAATAGAATTGAAACAGATCTTTTGAAATAGAATGTAAACACTGATACTGGCAATTAGAGTGAATGGAAGGTAATTCTTACTTACTGAGGAACTAATATGTCCCAGACTATCCATTTGGAGTTCTGTACTACTGCCTGGGTAACACACTTGCGAGAATGGTGTTTACCGATAAATGCTTTGTGATCAGTGATTTTAGTTGGATTTCAGACTTGTGTTGGTGGTGGTAGATTTTTTAGCTGTTTTTAGTACTATACATTGTGGTGAGGTTTTTGTGTCTGAACAGCTCAGTAAAGAGATTTGCCAGGAATTTTAGGCTAAATTGATGCTTTAGATTTATTTGGAAATCTGCAGAATAAATAAATACAAATGTCTTTTAAAGACAGTGTATTTTCTTTGTTCTGCTTCTTCAGCTATGCATTACTTAAATCGGGGAGTATTGGGCTTTTATCATATTGTCAAACATGGAAGAAGGATGCTTGAAATCTGTTGCAGGAGATTGAAGGCTTTCTTGTCATATTTATAGCCTTGGAAATGTGTTTATTAAATGTTACGATCAGGTGTATCTACTGTTAGTTTTTTTATATTAAGGCCTTGGCATCCCATGGTGATCATTTTGTAATGTATAGAAATTTTGAATCACTATGCTGTGCACCTGGAGCTATATAGTAGGTCAGTTATACTTCAATTGAAAAAAAAAAGCTTCATTCAGCATCCATGGAATCCTACTAAGTGGTGGAGTGTAGGCTCATTTGTTTTGTTGGCCCAACATATGCTTTTCTGTTAAAATATGACTTGGAATTTTCTTTTAAAGTGACTGTTCTAGGTGTTTAATCTCTTTTCAGGCCTTGGTGATGAGAGGTATACAGGGTGTTGTTCATCTTACCATTCTACTTTTGTATATATTTGAAATACTTATTAAAAAGAAATCAATCTGCTACTAGAGACTGCCCCCAGTTCAGCCTTCCTTCCTAAAGGAAGGCAGCATACCACCTGGCAAAAGGTGTTTATGGGGCAATAAACCCCAGTAATCTAGGTCTTATTATGTAAGTGTTATGTATATTGTAATTTTCAGCATCTCACTTGTCCCTCCTACAGTAATTGCCAGTATTCAGTAACTGGCACTGTTCCAAATTGAAAAATAGAAAACTCTTAGTTTGTAATTTATGCAGTAGTAGCTCAGTTTTATAAGTTTGCAAACAAGTTTTTGATTATGAATTCAAATTCATTACGGAGCAATTGAAAAGTGTAAAATTAAAAATTTTATGTAAAGAACACACACACTTAAGATCATGTTGTTTTGAAATGTTTTGTATAATGTTCAATGACATGGAGAGATTAATATTTTCCCATGCCATTAAAAATTACTCAAAAATATGAATATTAATGACATACTATTTAACTTGTTTTTTAATAATAAAATACTCCACTGGGATGTTTATTGAAAAAACATCTGTGTACAAGTGGACTCAAGCAGTTCAAACCTATGTTGTTCAAGGGTCAATTATATTATGGTGATTTCTCATAAATGGGACTTTTAGGCAAAAAGGATAAAAGTTCTAAGGTTCCTGCTGCCTATCGCCAAATTGGTTAACAATTTGCAGTTCCAACAAATGGTATATAAAATGTAATAGTAAGCTTATAAAAAAAAGCTATAAACTCCAAACAACTCTTTTTTTTCCTTGTGAAGGATAATTTAACTGTGTTTATTAAAAAAGAAAAAAAGGAGAATTAAATAAAAGACCAAAGTAGAAAAATCACTCATAAATCCATCAACCAGAAATAAATACTGTTAATATCTGGTGAACTTCATTATTTAAACCATCTCTCTTAAAAAAATACACACACACACACATACATAAACACAGTTTCTTTTTAATTAAAAAAATTTTTTTAATTGAAGTGTAGTTGATTTACAATGTTAGTTTCAGGTGTACAGCAGGGTGATCCAATTATACATATACATAAATGCATATTTTTTTCAGATTCTTTTCCATTATATGTCATTACAAGAAATTGAATATAGTTCCTTGTGCTACACAGTAGGTCCTTATTGTTTATTTTATATATAGTAATGTATATCTGTTAATTTTAAACTCCTAATTTATCCCTCCCCCACACTTTCCCCTTTGGTAAACAGTTTGTTTTCTATGTCAGTGAGTCTATTTTTGGTTTGTGAATAAGATTTGTATCTTTTTTTTAAAGATTCCACATGTAAGTGATATCATATGATAGTTGTCTTTCTTTGTCTGACTTACTTCACTCAATATGATAATCTCTAGTCCATCCATGTATGTCTTGTTTTTGTGCCAGTACCATACTGGGTTTTGGGTTTTTTTTTCATTTTTCAGTTTTATTAAGTAGAATTGTTACAGTTTGCACATAAACAATATATTGCATGTAAATACATATATACAATATACTGCACATATATTTTTAAACTTTACATATATGTACTGTTCATTGTTTCTAAGAACAGTTTAGAGCTTTAGCTTTTTAAACTTACATAGTTATCAAGGGATTAAAGCCAACCACAAAATAAGAATCAACAGAATGCAGTAATTCAATCATAAAGGACAGTCATATTTGTCAAAACTCATTGACT